GGACATTTTGATTTAAGTCGCATGTGCAAAGCATCATGAGCTGCAGTGGAAGAGGAAGTGCATGCACCAAGTGCTATTTGTTTAAATAGCCACTGACTAAATAGCCACTGGCTATTTTTTATCCTCACTGTGTAAGAACTTGAGCTTGCTTCCTTTTCTGGAGGCCAAACCCAGGTTTTCCTAGTCATGTATGTACATGCCCGTTGTTCCTAGCCAGCAATAGTTAAGCAGTGTTGAATAAATGCAGAAAGTGTGCCATGTTCTTGTGAAGGAGGAGTTTGTTGTTAATGCTGCTCTCTTCCCTTACAGGGTCTATTTTCAAGGGATTCCAAGAGGCTGACATTAATTTCCGTCCTTCCTACAAGTTTGACATAGGAAAGGACAGCTATGACACCACTTCCAAGCAAAGGACTCCTTCCTATACGGTAAGAGATGATTTCAGAGCAGCGTGCTCAGCCGCACATCTGCCTCCAAAGGGGATTCTCACCTATGTGTAAAAGTTCCCTCGCCACAGTTGGTCTGCGTGAGATTCAGTCATACTGAGATTTGTTGCTTAAGGGCAGCAGGGCACGTCGGGCTGGTTTGGAAGAAAGGGTTGTTGAATCTGTGATCACGGGGAGAGTTTGGCATAGGCTGCTAAGCTCATTTTCCCTGCCTTACATCCTGTTCAAGTGCATCCTCCCCTGTGCTCAGAGCTGCTGTTGGGATCAGACAAACATTCTTCATGAGTGTATCCTTGTCCAAGACACTTAATTACATTAAGTGGAGTGTGATAAATGAATGGATTTGTCTCTTGTGAACCAGGGCTTCTTTCATAGTGGGTGTGCAAAATGGGTTACCATCAGTGTCCCCTCTCTCTCTGCCTCCCAGGATCGAGTTGTATTCCGCAGCCGGTACAGAGATGACATCCAGGCTCTCAAGTACTCATCTTGTCCTGTGATCAAAACTTCAGACCATCGGCCTGTATTTGCCCTGTTCCGTGTGAAAGTGAGACCCGGCAGAGACAAGTTAGTACCTCCTTGTGCCCCTCTGTATGATTGCACATGGCTCCAGTGGTCCTGAGGATATGCTCCTGCTTGGAGCATGTCCCTCTGGGAGAGTCCCTGACATAGAGTTAGTCCCGTGTTGCTCTCTGCAGCCTCTCTGTTTTTACCCAGTATACGCTCTCAGTGGTTAGAGACTTAAACCTTGCACTGACAGCTGAAATCCCTGCTTGCCAGGTCCCTTAATCCTCCCGAGGGAGATAAATGGAGTCCATGGCAATTGATTATAAATCTGTGTTTCATCTGAGATGCACCTCTGTTTTTCCTGTCAGCATAGACAGCTTTTCTCTGCTGTTCCCTCTTTGGGATCAGTGCTGTTTTCGCTCCCCAGTGGTGGCTTCATTTCAATATAGCTGCGTGTCAGTGGAGTGTTTTGAGATCTTCCAAGTTCTCGATGTCCCGCTGTGGGCTGTTGTGCTATAGTAGAACGCCTTAGAAAATTTGGTTAGACCCAGATACCTAAAAAACTGTGATTTCTCAAAGCACTTGATCAGCAGCGCAGTTAGAGTCCAGATTTTTTTGTTGATTAAATAGAATTATTGCAGAGTCTGTGAAGCTGAGCTGCTAGTGTTTCCTTCTGGCCTCTGGAACAGGACAAGGTAGGAACTGCTATGGCCGAACCACACCAGCAAATACACCGAGTTAACAGTAAGCTAGTTCAGCTTTTCAAGTGAGTGGTTTTTGGTTTAGGGTCATAAAGAATGTCCTCCATGTATGCCCTTTATGAGCGCAGGTGTGTTCATGCTTAAATTGAAAGTACATTTCCCTTTTGCAAGCAATATTGTCTTAATTTAAATGTATTGTGGAAAACAGCTTGTTGCTGTGGAAGAACAACTCTGTTTTACCCATTTTCTCGCACAGCAGTAGCTGAATGCTTAAGAAAAGTAAAAATTAAGTTTCTGGCCTTCGTAGTATGAACTGGTTGGGAAATGTTGGGCAACCAAGAAGAATGTATTTGTGCCCTGATCTAATTGCTTGTGTTTACTTGTAGCATTCCACTTGCTGCAGGGCAGTTTGACAGAGAACTCTATTTAATCGGAATAAAGAGGCGGATTACAAGGGAACTTCAGAAGCGGCAAGAGCGAAAGGACCAAAAATCCAGCAGCATATGTAGCATTTCCTGAGCTGAGAACTCTGCAGTGCTTGTGTTAGAGGTGCCCGGAAAGAGGATTTCAGGCCACAGCAAACTCTGCAGGGAATTCTCTGCTTAAGCACCTCTGGCAGTTGCTGTGGCTTGTGAAGAATGTCTTAAACCTCATCCTGGATTCATTTGCATGAGCTAATCCACGTAGCTCAAGAGCTTTCACTGAAGAAAACGGAGTCAGTTTTGTAGGACATCCATCCCAACAGATGTAATTGATTTACTTTTCACCATACAATCTCTGGAAGCAACCAGGTGTGGTCTCTGGGCTCTAAGCTGACTGCATGCAGGGGGCACAGCTACTGGAACTGGCATGACTGGGGGCAGAGGACCTAAGAAAAGCCTGCAAAAAGGTGAACACTTTTGTCTGTTTGATTTGATCTTGTTTGCTTACGTATGTTGTGGGGTTGTTTTTTTCCTCCTTATCTGTAGCCAAGTGTACGGTAATCTGTCAAATGTGTAACAGGGACCAGGCAGGGGACTTGGGCAGTTTTGTGTAAGGGCGGTGCTCCTGCATTGGGCTTTCTCGGTCCTCTACAGCAAGATCAGTGTGAATGTACTACTGTACATTTGAAGTGTAGAAACATTGCCTTTCAAGAACTATTCTACAGGCCTTCTGTTACTAAGGGGGTAAATATTAATCTCTCACACCATGTATTTGGCTGTTAAGGAAGGGATTGTTTCAGTCTCATGTGCCCTCCTCAGGGGTGATAAAACACTCACTTTCAACTCCAGCGTCCTGTTGCTGAAGGCAGGAACAGTCCAAGTACAGCCACTGTGCAATGCTTCACCAAAGCAATGATGACGTCAAGGGAGTACGAGGGAAGTATGCAGACAAACTGCACGTCAGGCCAGTGCAGTTCCATTACCTCTGATTACAGTTAATTCCTTCTGTTTTATTTTTCCAATTCAGTGAACTGTGAGTAACCTGCTATTTTTGAAGTAGTGTTGTCCTAAGGCTAAACATACTACGTGGACCAGTAAGGCGCTGGTAAAATGTTAAGTACAGCTAATATTTAAAAACTCTTCATGGGCACAGATTGGCCAGATCATAAATCACCTTAGTACATAAAACACCGTGCAAACAACTTGGAGGAAGTGCTGCTAACTATGCAACCTGTCCAAGACAGAGCTTCCGTTCTGCGGTACAAACATTTCTGGCACTGACCTGTCTGTAGCCATCAGGTATTCGGGTTTCCTTTCTTTTTAAAGGAATAAAAATAAATTAATGCAATACCTTAAATGAGAGCCAGCTCTTACTGGAGGTTGTCAGAACTAGAGTTCTTTGTGTGATGCATGCTACGTGTTTGGGTGACCCGAGCCATTTGTCTTCAGCTGGAAAAGCGGGATGCATTTCTTTGGGATCGTTTACACTGCACACATAAAGCAGACTTCACCCGCCAGTTCAAGAACCCCAGCCATTAGCTGATGAATTTCAGAACTCTTACCACTTGTTCCAGTTGTTTAGAGGTCTCTTTATTTTCTTACAAACATACACAACAACTGAACAGCACTTCCATAGTGTGGGTTTCCTGCATGAGGAAAAGTATGGGGATAAAGCAGGTAATAGCTGCCTCAGTGTTCTGCTCCCAGTTTGGTTGCTCCTTACAATACACACCTAGCCAGTGAAGTGCTGCAGTGCAGCTGTCTATGTTTTAAAGCCCATACATTAAGGGATTATGTAAATCAAGTATTTTAGTCCTCACTTTTGAGTCTCCACTTCTTCAGTACATCAGATGCACGGCACTCGGCTTCATGTCTCTCTCTGTAACACGGGGTCAGTCACTTACAGGCTCGTAAGCTTTCTAAATGTCATTTTGTTTATCTTGACTCCTAGCTGAGTGACATCTCTGCTGCGAGACTGACAATTATGTCTTCTTTTTGCAAGGTCTTCAGGAGTTTAAGGTGCAGCAGCTCCTTTAATAACTTTCTGGTTGTACTCTGCAGTAAAAGATTATTCTTTAGCAGAGTTATCAAGTTATTTCCAGACATCTGACTTCTAGTGGTATTACAGATGGTAAATTACACTGAGGAATTGGATCCGTGATGCTTGAAACAAAACCCGGACTGCAGGAAACCTGTTGCCTAACTTCCCATGGATAACTAGTATTTTCCTAATTCAGTTTGACCAAGTCTTTGTTCACCTTGGTAACAGCTGTAAATATTCTTTGCACTCAGCTGTGTAAGCTGAGCTCAGTAAAAGACCTTTTATTCTTTAGCAGAGTTATAGAAGTTATTTCCAGACATCTGACTTCTAGTGGTATTACAGATGGTAATTTACACTGAGGAATTGGATCCGTGATGCTTGAAACAAAACCCGGACTGCAGGAAACCTGTTGCCTAACTTCCCATGGATAACTAGTATTTTCCTAATTCAGTTTGACCAAGTCTTTGTTCACCTTGGTAATAGCTCTAAATATTCTTTGCACTCGGCTGTGTAAGCCGAGCTCTTTAACACACCACCACATTCCTCAGAAGGGCACACACCAAGGTCTCCAATGTGACAGCCCCACTTCTGCTGATTCGTTCAAGTGGTAACACAGAGGTGACTGACTTCTTCTCAGATACATCCTTTCACTTGCAGTGATGAGTATTTTGGCTTTTTATGTTCTCCCCAGTGCCAAGAGGAGGCTGTATACACCCATCCTCTCCTGTAACCTACTCAGGGCGTCAAAGTAGTCCTCCAGAGCCAGGGCGGACCTTTCAACCCAACATAAGAAGGTCTTCACAGTCCAGTGTTCTGAAGCAGCTCTGTTCAGCTGTAGCACAGCTCCATGTTTGTACAGTATGCCTGGAAAGATGGGGGGAGGAGGGCTTGCAGCAGTGATATAATTTCAAAAACATTTAAAAAGAAGCAAGTTTGTCAGGCCTGTACAGAATGCGCTGCTTTATCGAAAGAGCCGGTACATGCGAGGGAGTCGCCCGTCCTTACTGGAAAGCGCTGCCTGGATGTGTTCGTAAGTGGGCAGATCAGTTAAGTCACCCAGGGCAGCCACAGCTGGTTTTTTATGAAGCATCTTGGTGACCACTCTCTTGATATCACTGGATTTCACCTGACCTGCAGAAAATAAAAGAAAAAAGCCAAAGTGACAACTACATTCTAAATCACAGAATCACAGAATTGCTCGGTTGGAAAAGCCCTCTGAGATCATCACGTCCAACCGCTCCTGTCTACCCCCTAAACCATATCCCTAAGTACCTCGTCTACCCGCTCTTTAAACACATCCAGGGATGGTGACTCCACCACCTCCCTGGGCAGCCTGTTCCAGCTTCTGACGACCCTCTCAGTAAAGAACTTCCTCCTTATCTCTGACCTGAACCTCCCTTGGCACAGCTTGGTGCCATTTCCCCTTGTTCTGTCCCCCATCACCTGGGAGAAGAGACCAGCACCCACCTCTCTACAAGCTCCCTTGAGGCAGTTGTAGGTGGTGATGAGGTCTCCCCTCAGCCTTCTCTTCTCCAGGCTAAACAAGCCCAGTTCCCTCAGCCGCTCCTCATAAGGCTTGTAAATAGCACAAGCAGCTTTATTATACTGCCGAGTCAGGCCCCATGCTCAGAAAACCAATTGCTAACTCTGAACCTTTTCTACCATGCTTATTTTTGTCAGAAGGAAGGAAAAAACAAGCATTGTGCTAGCTTGCAAGCAACTGAGAAGATCAGTTTGAAATGTGTATCTGTAGTATTTATCACAGAATCACAGAATCTCAGGAGGTGGAAGGGACCTCGAAAGCTCATCCAGTCCAACCCCCCTGCCAGAGCAGGATCACCCAGACCAGGTCACACAGGAACACGTCCAGGTTGGCCTTGAATGTGTCCAGAGAAGGAGACTCCACAACCTCCCTGGGCAGCCTGGTCCAGTGCTCTGTGACCCTCACAGTGAAAAAGTTTTTCCTGATCCTTTACGTCCCCAAGCTTTCAAAGGCAGTTCATCTGTGCTACAGGAATGTGTTGTACGTTTCTCCCCAGTCCAGCTCCGATTGTACCTACAGTTCAGTTAAAGCAAGGAAAAGGATTGTCTACTCACTGATCAGGGCACAGAGCTCATGAGGTAGCTTCCTCGTGTTTGTCGCCAACACTTGCCTTCCCACATCCTCAAAGATAACTGGCCGAGACTCAAGGTTCATCATGAGCATGGACTTCAGCTGTGTCTTTGCTCGCTCAAGTTCTACCTGTAAATGAGCAGCAAATACAAACAGATGTAAAAAAAGTCTGCCCGCTGCTCTCTAATACGAGATACCACCTAAGAGTTCTGGAAATGCCTTCCTCTGTGAATGTGTTCTTAAAATTACTATCTTCTTTTACAGAAGTATTTAACATACGTATTTACAACAACACATTCTAGCAAGGCCAGTGCAATGCAGTATTTCAGCTCAAAGACCATCTGCACAGTCTGCAAATCAGGCTGCTGACCTCTCCTATTGCTCCTGCCATTAGAATGAATTCCCTTGTGATGATTTCCACCATCTCTCGAACCTAGGAAAAACAGGTATTTGAAAGAAGGTTAGAACAATGCTTATTCTGTTAACATTACTGTCTGGTGATAAGTGACGTGACTACTTTTTAAGGACACCTGTCTTTGAATACAGGACATCTGTATACCTGTTTTGGATCTGCACTGGCATGTATACACAGGAGACCTGTATCCTCGTAACTGTGGTGGTAAGAGGTTGCATTATACATCCAGTGGTGCCTGCGAGTATACAAAAAGTACTTAAGAATTTAAATGCAAAAATTTATCAAATACGGACAGTTAGTCCCCTCCTAGCACATTTCCAGGATCCTCAGCAGTGAATTGTCAATCCCTGCCTCTGGCAGTTTCTGAACCTGCCATCTACGTCCTTCTCTCCACCTGCATCCTTGAGACCAAACCCAGAACAATACTGAGCAGGATTACTGGTACCCACTGCCAACTGCATTAATATCCCCTGATTAAAGGACAGGTTGGGCTGGTAGAGGAAGACACGATTCCTGGTGACTTCTGCCCTTCACTTTCACCCTCTCACTGTCAAATCAGTCCTGCATGTTTCAAGTGGAATAAGCTGACGTAAAACCTGGGGGTGCTGGCTTTCAAAGGATGAAGCCTTCCGTGTCAATCTGCTAGAGAAGACTGTTTCTGCTGTTCCTTAAACAGAAAGGCAAACCAACCTGTTGAGCACATTGAGGTACAGTCGAGTGAACATGCCCTTGCCAGGCCCTCCAGCTGAAAACGAGCCACCGCCTCCCATCATCATGTTTAACACTGCAAAAGGAATGAAATCTTCCTCCTGAATTGCAACAAGAAATTCCGTCAGGTAATAAAGCCCTAAAAGGTCTGGGATGAGTAAAAACAGAGAAGAAGAGTCAGAAGGAAATACAGCACTAGATAAGTGTAAAAGTCAGTGCCTTCATCAAACTGTCAGTGAAAACGCTGCTTGTCTGTGTATGCAGCATCAGCAGCGAGGGACTATGTTTACATGAGGAGATATCTGAGATTCTTCAAGTATAGGGCACCCAAAACACAGGATCTTAGGTTAATACTTACTAAAAATGAGCAGCTTTCTAACCCAATCATGATGTGGGTAAGCTCTGGAATGGGAGTGGGGCCCAGACTCACATCTGACATATCTTTCTCAACCTGTGTGGGAAGGGCAGACAAATTATTAGGACCACTTTTCACTGTTGCGCCCAGCTTGATATAGTCCAGATAATTAACCTGTCATCCAAATATTCGTGACTAGTATGTGATTTTAGAAAAGCTAAGCCTATAGAGCAGTCAGCTCAAGTCCAAATCCACAGTTTCAACAGAGAGGAAGAGGCACGATGCCACCCCCACCTTCCTTTTACCTTGATAATGCCTCCTGTGTACTGAGCCACGGATCTGTCCACATCCTTGCTCTCCCCGCTGCCCCACACGGGCTCCACTCCAAGCAGGTGTTTCTGTGCACACTCCACCAGCTGCTCGTGCTCGATGCCCACCCCGGCAAGCACCATCCTGTCCGGCGTGTAGTAACTGCGCAGGTACGAATGCAGGACTTCTCGATCAATTTTGTCAGTATTTTCCACTGGGCAGAACCTATTCAGTCCAACTGTATTGTCTCTGTAGGCTGCCTAAATGAAACAGAGAAAATAACAAATATTACTTCACCATCCTCCATCTAAACCTTCTTATGTCGACCTGTATGAGACACAGAGGGGACAGGCTGAGCGTTATTTCACTATCAGTGTAACTCAACGTCACCCATGTCACCAAAGATAAGTTATGGACAGGTGTAGTTTAGGTTAAATCTTTCACATGTCTAGAACGTAGGATTTCAAAGTGGAGGGACAGCAAAATTCTCCCTTTCACCACTGAAATCTAACTAACTAACAGATTTGTTTTCAGAATAGTCTAAAATAAACCCTGAAGTTGAGGAAAAAGTGAGGAAGAGAATGCAGCGTGTCTCGTTCAGGGCCTGCACGCACGGTACTTCAGAGCGTTTTACCGCATGGATCATTTCTGTGAGGAGAGGCTCTGGATCAGGTCTCATATTCAAGTCTTCAAGCTCAAATCGTATAGCTGTTCGAGTCATCTCCATTTCTTCATCTGTCATGAGAAAGAATGCAAGAGGTAACACCACCACGCCAAGTAACTGCTACGTGATAACTTCCTGCACAATCTAATGAAGCACTGTGAAGTCTAACAGCAAGTCACGTGTTGGGATTCTTTATTTTTGAGAGACAGACTTAGGTATCTCGGTTATCCCACACCTGATAACCTGGGCTGCAGCGCCACATCAGCCAGCAAGTTGACCACTGTGTCCAGGCCTCTGGCGTCAGCAGAAATCGCGTACATTATGGTGTCCCTGCAACACAAGCAGAGGGGTTTGCACTGAGAAGTCACTTCTCTGATCATTCAGTAAACGTGCATCAGGAAATAACAGATAAAGCTGCTTGACCACTACTCATTAAATGCTTTCAAAAGGAAATAGAACTGGCTTTTATAAACCTTTCAGGTTCGCTTTTGTAGCTTCCTAACAGTCACCACAAATAAATTTCTCCTGTTTAGAAGCAAAAAGTGGCTTTTACCATCACACACCAGAAATAGCAACTCCAACTCCTGCCGGTGTTACAGCCACTCGGGCAACAGACCACAGAGAGAGCCTGTCCTTACCTCGATGCCTGGCAGTCACAAATGCCCCCGTGCTTTTCTAAGGTGAGGAGAATTTCATCTTTGCTGCCAAACTGAGCTGTGGACTAAAAAGACACCAGCGTTATTAATTAGGAAAGCAATAACTGCTTATAATCCTTCAGTACAGGCCAAAACAAGCATCTTCTACATTCCTTATGTCAAATGGTTTGCTAAATACTCGCTAACCCTGGAGCTGAAAGCACAACAGGCTTTCAAAATATAATTACGGTCGCAGCAGTTAACTCAGAATACCAGCACCATCTGTTCAAACAGATCAGACCCACAGGGCCGCTGCGAGGAGCAGACCCTGCCCTGGGCCGCTCTCTCTTGTGATTTACCACGTTTGCACAACCTCTGGGGCCCTGCTACAAGATCGGTACTCACAGAGAAGGCGAGCTTTTCCAAGAAGTGGGAGATGCCGCTGAGGTACTTCGTTTCGTGTCTTGATCCCGAATTTACAAGAACTGGCGTCAAGAAGAGAAAATACCGGTGTGACTTCTAACCCCCACCCCGGTCCTTACGCGAACGCCGGACACCCCGCTCCCGAGGGAGGTGAAGCGTCGCCGCCGGGGCAGCGGCCCGGCCCAGTGCCACCCCTCGCCAGGCGCGGGTACTCACGGCCCACGGTGCAGAACTGCCCGAACTTGTTCTGGGAG